CAGAAAATAGACTGGTTTACGATGGATGCCAAATGTAATAACGTTAAAATAATCTCAACTTAATGAAAGGGAAACAGTTTAAACAAAATACATATATAATTTTCAAAAAAGACCTTCAGCAATTATTTTATTTATTTCGGAAAGCATCATTTACTGGAGCATCATAAAATTGTAGTATAATAGCAACTACGCTAGATACATGTGTTTGACTTAATAAGGTTATATTTTTTTTTTTATCTTTAGACTTATTAAGGTTATATTGCAGGCAATCCTTAATCAGCTGTAAAGAATCATATATTGCTAAATACTATATATGTAAATTTGAAAGGTTTCTAAATTTTGGTAATTAGATTTTTTTAACTATTCAAAAAAAGATTAAAAAATTCTGTATATTTACATATGTCTTTTTGAATAAACCATAAATACCAAAATCTATATAATTTAAATACTTTGTAATGATAAAACATTAAATGAAATATAAATATACAAGTATTAAATCTGGTAATAAAAAAGGGGAGCTAACAACCCATTTAAGTTATATCAAACTTATGTTAACTTAAATATAGACGTGAACCGTGTGGATATAATCATTTCCAGCTATTATACAATAAAAAAGACAAAATACGAAATCATTTTTATGAAATTCCGTTGATTCATTGTCAAAACATAAAACAGACAGTATTTTTTACTAGAAATGGGTTAAGCTAGAGAATTGATAAGAAGTAGTGGATTCATAAACGATAATCAACTTGCGACTAAAGTCGCTCGTTGATTATCGTTTACGAATCCACTACTTCTTATCAATTCTCTACTACCTAGTTGTCACAAACTGTAAACATTTTCTCCGTTGTCTTCGGTTATCTTGATCACTGTATGACAAAATTGTGATTTTTTATAAAACTTCAAGAGAACACATTCAGACATTTTTTCTTTTAATTTGACGATGAAATAATGCGGATGGAAATCACACACAAAAAGTATAAAACCAATCATAGCATTTTCATGTTGGTGCGAAAATCATGTAAATTATAACTTTTTCTATCAATCAAAATTCAATCGAAAAGTGATATTTCTTGCTATATTGGCAACATATCGTTTATAAAGTACATAACTATGTTATTACTCCTGTATGTCGAAATCAATGCTTGTTGTTTTTCAATGAAACACTTATATACACAGTAGTAGTTACATACGTTTGATTTGTTTGCCCTTTACTCCTGTTTACTGGTGCTTGATCTAGAACTCTATACATATAAAGATACACCAATCACATGTAAGTTACATATGTATGTCTATCAACAAAATATGAATGTACAATCAAATTATAACTGCGTTTGAATGCAAAACAAATGAAAAATATCTGACAGAACTTCACATGTTAATTTTAAGATGTATAGTGCACTTTATTTACTTTTTTTTAGCTTATCTTTCCCTACACTTTCTAGACATTACAGGGATGACTGTCCTCTCGATAACTTGATTATTGTCACATGTACAATTAGTTATCATATTAACGTGATAGCGATGTATCATATTGAATACAATTGCAAACAGCAATTATTGATGCATGCATAAAAATCAAACCAGAAGTTGTTTATTGAACAAATTCGTTTGAATAAAAAAAAAATAGAACTAATATACATACGTAAAATTATATATGTATAACCCTGCAAATCCTGTCACATTCCTGTATTGGGTAGCTAACTACAATACATCAGTGGATTACCTTAATTATTTAATCAAATTTCTTTTATAAGTATATATCTTTATTGTATTCACGTTAACTTGTTGATCATTAAAAAAAGAATTATAATATGAATGAGAATAAAAACAAAATGATAATAAGAATACAAATAAATAATAATAGTTATGATTATAGTGATAAAAAAGAACAATCGCGGGAAATATCTGAACAAAATATGGGAAGTCGTGGAAATGTCGTACATGTAGATAATGTCGTAGGTTAAAAAATAGCTTATAAATCTCACCTAGCAACACGCGATAGTTAATTTAAACGTCATAGATTAGTGTGATTTACGTCAACACATTTAAACAAGCGTAATGAAAGAACTACTGCAACGGTGTTTTAAACTTTTCGTCGTTTATATCGAGATTAGAAAAAATACATTGATGCTTTTTTTTTATACGTTTTCCTTCAACCATGTGAACAGTAGGTGAAAACGAGCAAGCTTGATTTGATCAATATCAACAAAACAAAACACACACATAAAACCGTGCAACAACTGCACAAAGGAATATAATTAATTTGGATTTGATTACTTAAATAACCTGTTTCTCACAAGCTTTCCAAATATTTGTTGGTATCTTAAAAGACATGACAACATAATGATTAATTTCATTTTGGACGAACATGTTGTCAATTCTGCTGTCCTTTACGACATCCTCGATATAAATGTAAAGTTTTGAACTGACTCTTATCAATCAAGTTTCCTTCAAAATGTTATCGATATGCATGTAGTCTTCAGACAAACAGTAAACAATAAGCTAATCAATGTATCTCCTCTGCAAAAAGAACCCCCCGAAAAAAACAACATTGTCCTATTTTTTTTAACAAAGGAACGTGGTTAAGACTAATAAGACAGAAATTCTTGTTCAGAGAAAACTAGTGTAAGATTATCTGATTTATCAATATCAAAGAATATATAGCAGCTCACCAGAAGAGTAAGATTATTTTTCATCTTTATGAACTCCATTGATGAAACTTCATTCAGGTCTTTTGAAAAGTTCTTTCCGGTCAAAAATATATGAACATCCACTGGAACCTTTACGCCTAGAGAAATAAAAGACACAATAAATATAAGATGCATGAGATATATAACGCCGGACGTAAAAATAGAATCAATTGAATCAAAATACCCCCTTTCAACATGTTAAACAAAAGAGAAGAAACATGATTAATAACTGCATGTAAGTTTAAGTTTATATTGTTTCTTAAATTAAAAAAAAAAAAAAAACAGTAAACTGTCAAGGGATACGCTTTTTTTTCTAAAAAGAAAAGAAAGATTTAACAAACTTTTCGTAAACTGTTTCGGCAGCATTTTCATGTGAGGACTTGGAACAATCCATGCTTCTAAAAAGTCTTCAGATGTGCCTGGTTTCGCACTTAAATGGATACATGATAGGTTGTTTTCTTACCCTATTCTGAGATAAATCGAAGAATTCAATTTAATTTGAGGTAATCGCAACCAGTATATATACATGTACAGCCGTTGCAGTAATTATCATTCTGTCCAGTCTTAGGTAAACAAACATGTCTTATTCTTCACAGACAGTAAAATTATGTGAGGATATTTCCTAAAACAAAGGAACCTAGTTGATCGAATAATTTTAGTAGGACTACCAGAAGCGTAAGAGTAATAATAATCGTGCTAAGTGATACGGTTTACCAGACGACGTTGTCCACATGTAATGGTGGCAACAGCTTGGCATTGAATTTGCCATCCCAGGCTGTTAAGGGACATCAGTGAAATCACATACATTACTGAATGCTTTAACTTTATGCTACATTACAGTATAGAAGGTTATGCTTATATTCAGATGGTCGGCTAATGATTTTAGGAAATAATTGATGCAGGAAATCCCATTCATGTTTGACTCTACTATTTACAACTAACAGAAGTAGATAAAATTCAAATTTCATCCTAAGGTATCTACACTTGGCTTCGGTACTAATCCTTCAGTAAGTTGCAGTAAACGAATAAGGATATAATATTTTATCAGTTAAAGTCGCATTTCGAAAACAGTCAGCGTGAAGGATTACTGAGCACGACCAAATCATATTTTTACCCGAAAAGCACTTCTGGTTGTCTTACTGTAATCACGCAATGCTTACAAAGTTAATGTCAACTCCTGCCAGCATTAGATTCGGGGAAAGAGATTAATCAATATTCCAAAATCAGGCTGCATATGTGCTTTTGTGGAATGTCTTGCAAATACAAATTGGCATTATTTTATCCTGATTATCTAGACATATATGTAAACGTGATCGAAATGCGATCGAACAATTGATAGGTACATGAATTGGTGCGTGTTCATAAAACCACTGTCAATATCATCACAAAATATTAAGGCACCTACAGAGTGCAGTTCATTGTGATAAGTTAAGACTTTGCAGTCTAGAATCCCTATATTTAATCCAACCCGTGACGACGCAGAGTTTTGTTTCAAGCAAACAGTGGTCAGAGAAAGATTGTGAATAAACCTCTATAAAGAACATATGAAGACATTGGTTTGATTATCTGGCAAATATGCATGTTAGTAGAAAAACCGATAAATTTCGGTAGAACCCTGTGTCTAGCCTGCGTTACCGATGGCAGTGTGATGTCGATTGCTAAAAACTATCGTCATGTACAAGTAAGATACACAGAGAAATAGACAATTGTTACCCCAAACTTCATGTTAATGTAAACCACAAACTAAAATTGAAAAAAAAAAATATTTCAAAAATTATATTTTCACAATGTCTCTTTTACATGTATCAGTAAAATTTCAAAACTATCTATTAATCATAAAAATAGTTTAATTTTGATTTACGAAAATTGGAAATTTATAAGTAAAATACAGAATAAAATTTGAAAAATTCATAAACTGCACACTTATAGATTTAATTCTGTAAATTCTTTTGGAATTTTGCATCAATTTAAATGTTGTATTTGTATTTCGAGGATACATTTGATTAATATTGCATTATTTGGTGTTTGCTCTAGAAACTGATCTGAACAGTTAACAGAAAAATTGTTAAAGCAGACCAATATTCTAATATACTGATACGATTATATCTCGGTTCAAGTAGTGTATACGAGTACTTAGTCTAGTATCCAGTTCCTGCGGAAGTAATATTTCAAAAATAAATCGGTTACGAATTGGCAAATTTTTCATTGAAAGAAATTCAGTAAATAGTTTGAATTATTGAACGGCATTCCAGCACTTAAAAATTTATAAAGAAATAGAAATATTTTCAGAAGTTGCCAGTTCGGAACTTATTTGCAACTGATTATGCTTACTGAATAACACTCCATCCAATAAACATCCAATTTAAACAATATAATACTACCTTTGTTGGGGGGTTTAGATGATGGGTCAATCGTTGACACAGTACTTGGTGGTGTTGTAGTTGTCGATGATTTTGTGGCTTGTGACGTCATTATCGGGACAAGAGCTGGAGTAGTTGTTGATGCAGCACTTGACATAGTTGTATTTGAAGCAGATGAAATAGTTTCAATTGCCGCTGTTGTATGTGTAGCATCTGACGAAGTGTTAGATGCAACAGTTGACATAGTTGTAGGTTTATAAGTTGGCACAGTTGTAGATGTACCAGTTTTCATAGTTAGAGGTGAATCAGTTGGCACAGTTGTAGATGTATCATTTGTCGCAGTTAGAGGTGTATCAGTTGTCGTAGTTGAAGTGATATCCGTTGGCACAGTTGTAGATGAATCAGTTGTCATAGTTGTAGATGTATCAGATGTTGCAGATGTAGATGTATCAGTTGTCGTAGTTGTAGTTGTATCAGTTGGCACAGTTGTAGATGTATCAGGTGTCGCACTTGTAGATGTATCAGTTGTCGTAGTTGCAGTGGTATCAGTTGGAACAGTTGTAGATTTATCATTTGGCACAGTTGTAGATGTATCAGCTGTTGTAGTTGCAGTGGTATCAGTTGTCACAGTTGTAAATGTATCATTTGGCACAGTTGTAGATGTATCAGTTGTCGCAGTTGCAGTTGTATCATTTGGCACGGTTGTAGATGTATCATTTGTTATAGTTGCGGTGGTATCAGTTGGTACAGTTGTAGATATATCAAATGTCGCAGTTGTAGATGTATCAGTTATCGTAGTTTCAGTGGTATCCGTTGGCACAGTTGTAGAGGTATCAGGTGTTGAAGTTGCAGTGGTATCAGTTGGCACAGTTGTAGATGTATCAGCTGTCGTAGTTGCAGTGATATCAGTTGGCACAGTTTTAGATGTATCAGTTGTCGTAATTGCAGGTGTATCCGTTGGCACAGTTGTAGATGTATCAGGTGTCGTAGTTGCAGTGGTATCAGTTGGCACAGTTGTAAATGTATCATCTGTCGTAGTTGCAGTGATATCAGTTGGCACAGTTTTAGATGTATCAGTTGTCGTAATTGCAGGTGTATCAGTGGTCGTAGTTGCAGTGGTATCAGTTGGCACAGTTGTAGATGTATCATTTGTTGCAATTGTAGTTGTATCAGTTGTCGCAATTATAGATGTATTAGTTGTTGTAGTTGAAGATGTATCAGTTGGCACAGTTGTAAATGTATCAGTTGTCGTTGTTGCAGTGGTATCAGTTGGCACATTTGTATATGTATCAGTTGTCGTTGTTGCAGTGGTATCAGTTGGCACTGTTGTAAATGTATCAGTTGTCGTAGTTGCAGTGGTATCAGTTGGCACAGTTGTATATGTATCAGTTGTCGTTGTTGCAGTGGTATCAGTTAGCACAGTTGTAGATGTAACAGATGGCGTTGTTGCAGTGGTATCAGTTGGCACAGTTGTAGATCTATCAGATGTCGTTGTTACAATGGTATCAGTTGGCACTGTTGTAGATGTATCAAATGTCGCAGTTGTAGATGTATCAAATGTCGTAGTTGCAGTGGTATCAGTTGGCACAGTTGTAGATGCATCAAATGTCGTAGTTGTAGTGGTATCAGTTGGCACAGTTGTAGATGTATCAGTTGTCGTAGTTGTAGATGTATCAGTTGTCGTAGTTGCGGTGGTATCAGTTGGCACTGTTGTAGATGTATCAGGTGTCGTAGTTGTATATGTATCAGTTGTCGTAGTTGTAGTGGTATCAGTTGGCACAGTTGTAGATGTGTCAGTTGTCGTAGTTGTAAATGTATCAGTTGTCGTAGTTTCGGTGGTATCAGTTGGCTCGGTTGTAGATGTATCAGGTGTCGTAGTTGTAGATGTAGCAGTTGTTGTAGTTGCAGTGGTATCAGATGTCGAAGTTGTTGATGTATCCGATGGCACAGTTGTAGATGTATCATTTGTCGTAGTTGTAGTGGTATCAGTTGGCACAGTTGTAGATGTATCAGTTGTCGTAATTGCAGTGGTATCAGTTGGCATTGGCACAGTTGTAGATGTATCAGTTGTCGTAATTGCAGTGGTATCAGTTGGTACAGTTGTAGATGTATCATTTGTCGTAGTTGCAGTGGTTTCAGTTGGCACAATTGTAGAAATATTATTTGTCGTAGTTGCAGTGGTATCAGTTGGCACAGCTGTAGATGTATCAGTTGTCGTTGTTGCAGTGGTATCAGTTGGCATAGTTGTAGATGTATCAGTTGTCGTAGTTCCAATGATATCATTTTGCACAGTTGTAGATGTATCAGTTGTCGTAGTTGTAGATGTATCAAATGTCGTAGTTGTAGATGTATCCGATGGCACAGTTGTAGTTGTATCTGGTGTTGTAGTTGCAGGTGTATCAGTTGGCACAGTTGTAGATGTATCAGTTGTCGTAGTTGCAGTGGTATCAGTTGGCACAGTTGTAGATGTATCAGTTGTCGTAGTTGTAGTGGTATCAGTTGGCACAGTTGTAGATGTATCAGTTGTCGAAGTTGCAGGTGTATCAGTTGGCACAGTTGTAGATGTATCAGGTGTCGTAGTTGCAGTGGTATCAGTTGCCACAGGTGTAGATGTATCAGTTGTGGTAGTTGTAGTGGTATCAGTTGGCACAGTTGTAGATGTATCAGTTGTCGAAGTTACAGGTGTATCAGTTGGCACAGGTGTAGATGTATCAGCTGTCGTAGTTGCAGTGGTATCAGTTGCCTCAGGTGTAGATGTATCAGTTGTCGTAGTTGTAGATGTAGCAAATGTCGTAGTCGTAGATGTATCAATTGGCACAGTTTTAGATGTATCAGTTGTCGTAGTTGCAGTGGTATCAATTGGCACAGTTGTAGATGTATCGTTTGTTATAGTTGTAGATGTATCCGATGGCACAGTTGTAGATGTATCAGTTGTCGTAGTTGCAGTGGTATCAGTTGGCACAGTTGTAGATGTATCAGTTGTCGTAGTTGCAGTGGTATCAGTTGGCACAGTTGTAGATGTATCAGTTGTCGTAGTTGCAGTGGTATCAGTTGGCACAGTTGTAGATGTATCAGTTGTCGTATTTGCAGTGGTATCAGTTGGCACAGTTGTAGATGCATCAGTTGTCGTAGTTGTATGTGTACCACTTGTTGCAGTTGTAGATGTAGCAGTTGACGAAGTGTTAGATTTCGGATTGACTTCTTTATTTTTTAGAAATAATTTCAAAATTTGAAGTATTATATTGGTTGTAGGTGAATTGCTACTTGAATGGATTGTATTTGTTGCAGGGATAGCATTGGTTGCATCTGTAATATTTATAGATGGCATGGTATATCTTGTTTGCGAAGTTTTACTTAGAGTAGTTACTGGAAGTGAAGTACTGTTATTACCAGTAAAGCGGCTTCCATGTACGGTATTCCCTATAGTAAAAGCAAAAGAAGTATCTTATTACAACAGGGTAAAGAAGTATCAGGTCAAGATTTTGTTAAAAGTGTAATAGTATCTGTTCTAATGAGAAATAAAAAAAGAAATTGTACTGTATACAAAAAATATCTTAACAACAGAATATAATACTTTTGCTTAGAAATCATAGACCTTTTGTCAGAATCCACAAATATCCCGTATTGGCGTAAAGCCAAATTGTTTTGTTTTGTTTTAACTTATATCTTAAAATATTGTTTTATTAAAGATATCTTTATCATTCTGGAAAAAAAAATTCATTCAAAAACCGAAAAAAAGAATAAAGTTAAGAAAAACAGATTAGATTAGATGCCAAGTTGGAATTACTTTTGATAATACGGGAGAAGAGTTTAAAAGGTAAGTGAAGGAGAAAAGTATTGGAATATTTTGTAGCAGACGGTAATTTGAAGCATAATGAAAATTAAATAAATAAAAGATGTGGTATAAACAATGAGACAATTATCCACCAGAGACCAAATTACGTGGTGGCAAGTGAATATATCAAATGACTGTACGGCCTAGCTGTAACAACCAATACCGTACAGTTAAGGTTAAAAAAAAGGCCGACAAGCCAAAGTGTAAAACAGTTCAAAAGAGAAAACCACAAATAAGTATAGTTTAGATTTGCCATGTCTGCTAGTAATACCAATTCAGTAATTGATTTAGACTGTTATGTTTCGAATTGTGCTCCGTATGAAAATATTTCCTAGACGAGACAATGATACTCAAGAAATCTTGGTTTATAGTTTTAAGAAATTCGTGTAAATTGTGTATTTACAAAGTAGTTTAATAAAACTTTAATGAAATTTGTTCAAATTTCCTTGTATGTAATATTTATTTCCGTCGTTTTGCCTAATTCTAATAATGCCCTTCTAAAGAACATTACGGTCTTCTATTTGCTAAATATTTAATGTCACTCCTAATTCTTTGTCAATACGCATTATCATTTCGATTAATATTTAATTGTTCTTCTCTCCCTTTTAGGACTTGTGTAATCAATAAGTATTAAATCTTAAAAGATGTCACTTAACGTTGTTGTTAGGGGATTCTTATACCTCTTCACACACAATGAAATATGACACAGAGCAATAAGTATCAATTGTAATACTAAATTGCATTTTAAACACAAGAGGAAGGTAGGAATGTTTTCAGTTGTTATAACTTCACACTCGGTAAAATATGTTTAATGAGCTTTGTATTACTTTTGAATAGAACAAGTGGAATATTATAAAACCATAAAACTTTAATGTTACCCGGCTAAAATAAGTCAAAATATAAATAATTATATATTTCTTTCTTACCTTCTGTTGAAAATACTTGCCACGCTGATATAAGACTAAGAATTTGAAGTATAAAACAATTCATTTGTATTCGCATGATTTGTTTTCAAACAACAAACCTGCAATTAGAGCATTTGCATTATTCACGTATTTGCTTGCGTATCCGCATCGACGTATCGTATAACACGTATCCGAAGAAAGGATAAATTAAGTCAAGTTGGTCCCGATGAAGATATTTTATAATGCATATAACATACAATAACAAGAATTAATCGTATATTAAAAAGTCACATACATTTAATACTAATAAACCAAATGTTAGATTAAACCAAAAAATTGGTTCTTCGGGCTGCAAGAGCTGCACACAAACAAACAACCCTACTTACAGTATCCCTATGATGTCTGTACAAAGTTCCAACAACTCTAAAAAGTTTTTAGCATATGTTTTTAATTTTTAAACTGAATAACTGCAAAAAGTAAAGAATTGGGTAAAAGTATATTGAATACAGAAAAACATGTGTAGAATTCACAAATGATGTAATAACAGAATAGCCATTATTTTTAAAGATAAAGAATACAGAAATGAAGCACGACCTCCATCCCCCAATCAATACCCTTGTGTAGTAAGAACTTCAATTAGCTGGAATTTCGGGGAAAAACGTACAAGAAAGGATTTAGACATAAAATGTGGTCGTAAAGCAACAAATATAACTGAATGTGTAGCAATCAGTGACGGATCAAGAATTTTTGAAAAAGGGTGGCGCTTAACTTTTCGGTTCTATAATCAGTTTGATAAGGGGGGCCCGGTCCATATTTTGCCAAAAATCCCTGTGTATTTAAAAAAAAAAATTTAGGTTAGGCGGACGGGCCCCTTGGGTCCCTTCTTTACCCACCTCTGGCAATAAACACACTATTATTGATAAATAATGTTCTTGTCAATTTTCGTAGACAAGGTGTGTTCGATTTGATCGTTGATATTTGTATAGGAAAAAGATACACTTATCACAGTTCTTCAATATGAAGCGTGTATGTTTCTGGTCTTATAAAAAAAAAGAATATTTAGTGTTTTAACTATATATCATCAACATTTAGTGTATATTTTACCTCTGTTTAGTTTTAATTGAGGTCGGGGCTTAATCATTATTTTATACAAATCTGCCCGATACGTATACGTCGATCCGTGCACGTATCCAGATACATGAATAATGCGAATGCTCTACTATAAAGGTATACAAGTAGTATAATTATTTAAATCTGTAACCATATTGCATTAATGTAAATGATAACAATGATATAATTGGAATGAACTAATTGTTTAAAAATATAGAAAAGGGTTGTTCAATCCTATTGATAAATATAAGATTTGCATGAAATAAGTGCAAAGATGCATACTTTAGGTTTGCACAAGGTGAATCCCGATCAACCTTCCCAAGTCATGACTTAAAGAATAATGCAAAACACCATGGCTTTATCACTTTATGAAGTTATAGCAAAGGTCAAAATCTAAAACGTCACATTGATTATTGACTTCGATCTTTATTCGTACATAATCAATCCAGAATGTCAAATAAAACGACGCTAGTTCTCTTAAATGTATGGTTGTAGGTGACATCACAATGCAACATACATAACAATCCAGGGCAGAACACTCCGATCAAATATCATCGTACCTTTTCCACAATAATTTTCAAACTATGACATACATTATGTCGAAACTGACATGCTGGTACCAACTATTTTGTCGAGGGTCTCGTATGAGTAGCGATAGCAAAAACGAAACACAATGAAGAACATAATGTTGATCTGTAACAAGGAGAGGTTGTAAAAGAGAAGCGATAACAAGCAAAAACAATGTTTGATTAGCTGTTCGATGTCAGATACCAAATATCTAATCAATATCTTACTTGACAAACACACAAAAGACATAAAAGTAGTGGAAGAAACAAAAATAACTATCGAAGAGTTTCTAACGGTATTGGAAAGTAGACCTAATAAATTTAATCTCAATTAATCCCTTTTTCTTAACAATAGTTATATATCCATTTTCTAACAAAATAAAAAAAAAATAATACGCAATGTCGTTAACATTTCAGAGTAACCCTTTCACATTCCGCCAAATTGGGCGTAAACTTATGGAAAAGACACTATCGAAATTCAATCGAATACAGCATTCGCACCAAAGCTCACACATAGGTCATTTTGGATCCATATGAAAGATAGTTAATTGAATATTTCACAAAAAAATAATATTTCAGAAAATTTGTCTTTTTAAGTCACGTGTTATCTTTCTAAAAGTCATGTTACTTGCGGGGAAAATGTGAAAAAATACAAAATTCATGCGAAAAAAGTCGTGTGAAGACATTTTTATGCGCTAATAGGGTATATTTTTGGTGTCAAAGCAATGACCCTAGTCTGATAGAAACAGAAATGTTGCCATTATGGTAGGGACGGAGGAAATACGTGCTATATGTCTCGCAATGTTGATGCCCGCAACATGCAAAAAACGGACTTCAGTCGTTTTCTTCCGTCCAAATCTAATCCTTGACACAAATTTCTGGCTAAATCATCTTCATTCAAGCAGCAAATAGAATTTTGACTTTAAAAGTAAAGATTCAATGAATTACCAATAATAACTTGGTGTTTTGGGCCCATAATGTGTGTGTGTGTGTGGGGGGGGGGGGGGGGGGGGTGCAGTTAGAAAACACATTCTTTAAAAACAAACCAACATTGATTTCAATTTTAGTTTTGCATATATTCAAGACTGTCTTATTGAAATAGAAAGTTAAGTTAAGTTGCATTTAATATAGGAAATTAATTTTCACTCCCGGCTTTGAGATTCGAACATGCAATATTCCTGTTGTGGGTTAGTATAGCTTCCCACTGCACCACTGGAATAACAGTTTAAAATTTCAAAATTTTAGTAGTTAACTCCACCATAAACGCAGTGAGAGTAAAAAACAACCCAGCCTGTTTTCGTTTAGAAATTAAGTGTCGAGATAACATATAATTGTCAGTGATAATTGTTGTCAATCCAATCATTTTAAGCAAATAAGGAGGATACCATACCCTAGTCTGCCATTTTTTTCTTAACTTATGCCTGTTCCTTTATTTCAACAAATGAGTTTTCGGCATTACAATAACCAAGCACTTAAGAAACACTGTTTTGTTACATCTATTTCAACTTCGCTACATAATTTCATGATACTTTTGGGGTTTTTGTCTCTTTTTCAATTAATTTGGTAAGAAATGACCACTCATTTAGAGTGCATTTCAAGTTTATGATTGCTTTGGTACACTTTAAATCACTTATTTAACTTGTGTACAAGTTTTAATCATAATATGATGAGTTTACATCAAAATTACACGGCAAAATTAATAAAAAAGGTCATATTGCCCCCGAAATCAACAGTATTCTTTACCATACTCTATGGAGATATTGTGTTCAAATTATTAAAAAAAATCACGGGAGAAAATCTTGTCAGTAAGAGGCGATTTGATACCAAACAGTACTTGGTAGAAATTTAAGGCCAATGAATCACAAAGCTGAGATATAGAGTATTGATGTGAGCTCTCAAGCACTGCAGTATG